AAAAGCGAAAAAATTTCGCATATACAAAGTAGTGATGAAACTTTAGTATGATATAATACGTATACTGTAGATTAAAAAATATAAAAAAAAATATTTTTTTTAAACTATAAACGAAAACAAATTTCTTTTCATAATTTGCTAAATAGATAAAACAAGAATTCATATACTATTAAATAAACACTAACATGATTGTTATTATTTTCCTTTGGACCTGTTATAAAAACTTTCTCATTGTTAATCCACTTAATAAGTGAGTCAATATTAATATGATTTATATTATCACTAAGAGTTTCTTTAAGTTCAATGATTTTTGATTCTTTTTTATAAAGATTTGAAATAGTATAATAAAAGAAGCTCAAACTTTAACCTTAAGCGCATTATATCATTTATTAATGAATAAAAAAAAAAAGTTTGATAATTTAACTCATCGTTTATTAGGCTTACGTTTACTAAACTTAATCACTTTATTTACGAATATAACTATCTGTTATTCTCGTAAATGACAATAAATGATTTCGTTTTTTTTTGAAGATTGTCTACGTTAAGTGTTTCGATTGAACTTATACATATTATATCACAGAACGTACAGTATCTTTCGAAGTATAACGATGTCAGTTTTGATATGCGCATGTACGTACGTACGTACGTACGTGAGATTTATGATACAAATTCAAATCGTTGTTTTTTTCGTCATTATACAATCAACCTCAATATAGAAAAGATTATTCGTATTGATTTGGTCGCACGAAAAAGCCCCTGAAGACAATCATTTACGCGCACACTTTGTGAATTTGACTTATACCATATTTAGAGAACTAATAATCAGGTGAGAACATACAAATATATCCGGCGAAATTTAAATTTGTGTATTTTTAGGCCTCGTAATTTGAAAAGGTTTTTTTAGCTAACGTATATTTAAAGTTTACATATCGATATTTTTTCAAAGTTACTTCGCTTTTAATAATGTATGGAATTTGTAAGCGATGCACACAGAAAAACTCGCATGTTTCATGGTGTAAACAATGCGATCCTGTGAATTCGATTAGGTCTGGAAACGACTTGGTCGACAATTTTTTACAAAAAGCCTTAAACTCAGCGGATCGTTACAAAAAAGTAGTTGAATGGATTCCGTATAATAGATTAAAAGATCTAAAAATGATTGGAAGAGGTGGATTTGGTAAGGTATTTTTAGCTACGTGGATAGATGGGAAAAGAATATCGATAGATGAAGAAGGAGAGAAAAGGGATAAAGAATTAAAAGTTGCGCTTAAAATGTTGGATAAAACCGAAAATATCACGGATTCTTTATTAGAAAAAGTAATGAAAGAAGTAATTATCGTTTACTTACTGTACTATAATTTGCTTGAATATTTTGAATATCATATAATTACAAAATCATTTTTAATTTAGGTTGAATTTCAGCATAAATATTCTTCCATTAATTTATATGGTTTGACACAAGATCCGGATACAAAAAATTACATGATGGTTTTAAAATTTGCAGATAGTGGCAATCTTCATCAATACATTAAAAATAATTTTAAAAAATTTAAATGGGAAAAAAAACTATTTTTCTTAGAAAGGATTTCTAATGAGTTAATTTTGATTCATAAAGAGGGAAACGTACATCGCGATTTTCATCATGGAAATATCCTAATACATGATGATGATTATCCTTGTATTTCAGATATGGGACTGGCTGGTCCTGCTAATACAGAAACTGAAGGAAATGCTATATATGGTGTATTACCTTATGTTGCTCCGGAAGTCCTATATGGAAACCTATATACAACAGCTGCTGATATTTATAGTTTTGGAATTATTATGACTGAAATTTCATCAGGAAGACCACCTCATGTAGGGGTTCCTCATGATTCTTTTCTCGCTATACAAATCTCCAACGGCTTGCGTCCTAAATTTGGAAGAGGAACACCAAAAGTTTATATTGATTTGGCGGTTCGATGTATGGATGCAATCCCTTCCAAAAGGCCGACGGCAAACGAATGTTTCGAATTGATAAGATATTGGTGCGATACATTTAGGCTTTATGGTATAGGGAGAGAAGAGGATAGCAAAATAAGAAATGAATTTATAGATGCAGATAAAAAAATTTCAAATCCATCAAATTCACAAAAACATTCGGACGCCATATATACCAGTCGACTCCTTACCGAAGAACTTAACTTGAAAAACCTTCCAGAACCAAAAAATTCAATCGGTAAATTTTTTCTGAATATTTTATAAAAAAAATATGTTTGTTAATTCTCATCTCACGCTATATTTTTTTTTAGAATTAAATGCACCACCAAGTTCGGAACATGTTATTCCTTCAGATGAAGAATCTCCTAGTAAGTGAGCTTTAAAATTGGTATGCTGTAGCATCGAAGTTAATGTTATATTTTTACAATGAGATATAACATAATTCTTTGATTTGTAGATGAATGAAGAATTGATATAGAAGCGAAGTTATCTTAAGTTTAAATATGTAAATTTCAATCAGCTTAATGAAACAAGAAATATAAATAAGAATTAATGTAAATAATTCAAAAACAATATTAATATATGAAAAATATACCACATTTAATGACTAAATGGTTTTATGGTTTAAATTGGCAACGCAGCAGCATTAGTGTGTTATTATCGTAATATTTAATAACAGTCTAAACCTATCTTGGTGCACTAACAAAAATGTCGAAAACGCAATTTTACATAATCCCAATGCTAATTAGATTTTACATAATTTAGCGAAAATTTTTATTAATAATGATTGTGTGATATCACAATAAAAAAACTTAGTTATAAACAGATTTACTGCACTGCACATGAACATATTAGTCAAACGATTTCGTAAAATGTGGTACGACTATTATTATATTATAGGTAAAAAATATGTGCTTATTGGAACTTAAATTGCAAATGCACAAAGGGTTGATCAATTTTTTAAAGTTCGTGAATTAAATAATAAATGATTCAAAAATGATTATTCGACTCAATAATTCGTGAGAATAGCTAGAAGATATAATGCATTTATGCATTTTTAAGAATATAGTTAAGAAATATTTACTGTACTTAAGTCTTCCCAAAGGTCTGCTAGATTTGTGTAAGTGTCTATTAATCCTTGTAATTTTAAAAATAAAATTAAATGTAAAAAAAAAGAGAGTTTACATTAAATTAAAGCCAAATGTGCTATTTTTTTTTTTTTAAAAAAAAAAAAAGTCATTTGTAATATAATTAGCAAAATACAAATATTCGATCGAGCAACAGTTATGAGTTTCTTAAAAGTGTTGAATAATTTGTTTATCACTAATATTATATAATTAAAAGAAATCTTGCTTCGAGGGTTGAGAATATACGGCTTTTTTTTTTTTAAATATGCATCTGACAAAAGAATAAATTTACAGGGCGATTGCACAAATTTGCCATGTTTATTTACTGCAAACGATGATTTCTCAATAACTATCTAGTTAAATTTAATGAAATATTTTATTTTAATTCTGAGTTTATTGAAATTAAAATAAAATAACTTTTATTGAACTTGAATCGTTAGTTGTTGAGAAATATTGATTAAAAATTAAAAAAAAATTAGCCGCAGCTTCTTTTTTCAGACCTAAAATTTGAACGAAGTTTACTTGACTTTTACCTGACCAAATTCAATCAAATTTTTTTTTTTATTTAAATTCTATAATCACAAAATTAAAAAAAAAATTTGATCGAATTTAATCAGGTAAATTCTCGTCATAGTTTAGCATCTGTAAAGCTGCGGCTATTTTTTTTAAAAAAAATATTTCTCAAAACTACCAATCCAAGTTCAATAAAAATTAATTTATTTTAATTCTATAAACTCGGAATTTTTTAAAAAAAATATATATATTAAATTTGAATAAATGGTTATTGAGAAATTATTATTTAAAGTTTAAAAATGAAAAAATTTACCTATTTTCCGATACTTCAAATTTTTTTAAAATTTCTAGCGAAGGTTTCTGGATAACTACCAAACCAAATTTAATGACTTTTTTTTATTTTAATTTTACGAAAGTTTGGAATTAAAATAAAATAAAAAATTAACTAAATTTGATCGTGTAGTTATCGAGAAACCTTCGCTAGAAGTTTTAAAAAATTTCAAATTTATAAATAAGCAGATTAGTAACTTCGGAGATCACTGAATTTTGTTGCTCCACTGATCTTATTTTTTATGGTAAGCTAGAAATTGCATAGGTGGGCGGCTTCGCCGCCTATTTCAGCTAATAATTAGAGTTAGAAGATGGTGTGGCAATAATTTCTTGTTATCTGGCATGATTTGGCGAATACGTGGGTATCGGCAGTATAATAGCAAAAGCGTTGGACGTTGGTAGCGGTCCCACAAAAAATTGTTCATCCCTGTAATTTTGACCAATCAAAATTTAAGATCGGGTGTAACGTGGTAGTCAAAACAAACATGTTTTGTTTTCCATAAAATGTTGTATAAAATTAAAACCGCGTTATAGTTAAGGTTAGGGTTATTTTATTAGTAAAATTCACGAGGATCATTTTTAATTAGGCCGCAGAATGTAGTTTCGTAATTAAAATTTAAAGATATTTTTGTTTTTTTTCGTAAAAAAGTGGGTTCGCTTCGATTTTTACGTTTCACCTGATCCTGAAATTCGATTGGCCAATATTACAGGAGTTAGTGATTTGACCTCATAGTCGGACATTCGTTTGATTAGCTGATGTAAATCAATTGCCCGTAACTTATTTATACACTTTAAAGTACCATATGGGCGGATTTGACTCCATTCAATATTGTCACAAAATTTGATTTTGTCACTTAAGATGATCAAAAAATATTTTTAACCAATCAAATCGATTAAAAAATTTGATTGGAATATTTCAAAATTTGATATACTCATACTGTATATTTCCAAGTATCTTGTTAGCAATAATCTCTAGAATGGGGAATCGTTAAAGTCTTCAATACGGTCTTGAAACTTCAGCACTTGTACAATCTTCACCTTATCCTAAACCAAGACAATAGTTAATATTTAGGATACTTAAAAAGTCTCTAGCATCTTTTTAGTTCGCCAATTAATTATTAAGCAAAAAGTACCAAGTAGAAGAGCCATGATGGCTAGTAAATGCCAACTTTGTCAAGAGGTTTTTGCTTCTCGAAAAGATCTTGTTACTCATGAAAGAATTAAGCACCGAAATAATAAAATTATACCTCACCGCAAATCACTTCTTTAACCTCCTCTTGAGCAAATTACCTTTTATCAAGATGCATTTATAGTTCTTATAAAAAAACATCTTGGCTTTAATAGGCATTCAGTAGGCACAAAACAAGTTTCTATTAACGCCTTTCCTGAAAATATATTTGTTTATCTTTTTGAACATGAGCCTTCTTTCCGGTATAGTTTTGTGCAATGAAAGTATTTGTGTGTTTTTCAAGGTGAAGCTGGGAAACAAAGATTAAAACAATTAGTTAACTATGATTATTGGAATATTAGACAAGATCCAAAATTAAAAACTATAAGATATGTTTTATTCATAGATAATGAGAATTCTTATAGAGTTAGCTTTAGTTGGTCACAATCTGTATTTAAAGAGAATGAACATGTTTTTCATTGCGGCACTGCTACGTGTAAATTCATAGCAGATTCTGGAGAATTTTCTAAACAGTAAGAAATATAAAAGCTCAGTTAACAAAATGAGTACCACCAAGGGAAAACCTGAATGCTTAATTATAAATTTTATAAGTAAGCATTTAGGTTTTCTCTTGGTGGCACTTAAATAATCCTTCTGAACTATAATTTCATGGTTCTCTAATGGATCTTATTATTATTATTATTATTATTATTATTATTATTATTATTATTATTATTTTATTAATTATTATTTTATTAGGCCCACTGCACCCTGAGCAAATCATGTTATTTCTCAAATGCCAAATCTACCACAAGTTCACAAGTTAGATTCTAATTTGAATTCTCTAAATAATAGATCAGATCAAAAAATTTATAGATTTATATTACCTCGAGTGCTATTTCAACAATTAAATAGATAATTTTTTTTTTTTGTTTTTATATTTTTAGAGATATAGTGTTTAAACGATATACTCCAATAGATTTAGATCAATGAGAAGTATAATAGCACTAAGATTTTTGATTGCTACTATAAAAAATAAAATTTAATATAGTGTTATTTGAAACTGCCGCTAAATTTTTGGTTTTCTAATATTCCAATATAAAGGAATAATAAGCTATTTATTTGTAACACTTTAGATTCCTGATGGTTCAAGATCCTGCATAATTCTAAGACCTGACATTCGAGTTTCTCTCTACTGAATATATATTACTAGTACTTATGCTGTTCATAAAATGCTAAATGTGAAAGCGATTATTACTTTAGATAATCCTTTTTATTTTACATTTTTTTATTTGTACACAATATATACTTGTGTAGCTAACTTTTTCAATTAAATTATATAACTAGCGGGATTATAATGCTGTATGAATTACTGTATATAAGCAGTCTAATCTAAATATATTTCAGTTAAGTTCAAACCATATTTGATAAATGCCTTATATTTTTTAAATATTTTGCGGATTATAACAATTAGCATATTATATATTAATATAAAATTATAATTTTTTCATCTAAGATTCAAAAATTATAGTTAGAATTTTATACTTTTCAAGTAATAAATAGTATTTGCTCTAAATTTTATACCTCTTGAAACTTTATGAAATTTTATGTTATTGGGGTGGATAATTAACATTATAGTGAAACTACAGTATAATTAATAATAAAAATGTTAAAAAATCAAATAAAAATATGAATCATACACATTAACTTTTTGGATATTTCATAGGCAGATTTTTTGATTTTGGCGATTATTAAATTATTAATTATGAAATTTAATACATGATATTGTGATTTCTAGTAAAATAGATGATCTCAAATTGTACAAATGTATTCAATTGATCAATTGTTTGTCATAGCTTACGAATCGCTTATAAAACCACATAATAATTACTATTTAAATTAACAATAACTTTAAAATTGATATTGGAATACAATAACTGTAAAATTCAAATAGAAATTATTATATAATTATTACATCACGCATCTCAGATCAATTCTTTATCACTAGCGCAAATGTGAGATTAACATTTGTCGATTCTTTGTTATAAATACTAATCTAATCGATCATTTAATTTTATTAATAATCATCAAAAATTTTCACACATATATATTGTCACAATTCAGATTATCTTTTGCTTTTTTATTGCATATATTTACCCTTCGATGATGGCTAAATATTAGTGTTCCTTATACCCAAACTGAAGACCCAAACCCAACCCAGACCCGGCCTTGCGAGTC